CCTCGTGATAGCTGTAGTTAAGCGCCGTCGGACTAGTTCGCTCTCTGCGTCTCCTCTAAAAGGCAATCTTATGAATACATCTTTCTTTTCCGCAGTCTCAACAGTGGGCTTTTCAACGCGTTCCCCAATATTTCGGAGGATGAATCTATCTGGGTATCCGTTCTCCCGAAGTGTGTTCCGCAGCTGTTGAAGTTCTTCTTCAATAGCTTCAGGTGAGCAGATGCGTCTCACTCTAGCCGCCAATCCCTGGACTATGGCTATCGATATGGGCCCTTGTCTAGGGACCCTTGTTTCTCGGGGACTTCCTTAGATACTGTTGGCAGCAGTTAACCAGAGTCGACTTAAGACCATCAACTTCTCTAGCTTCGGTGGGTTTTAGATCTGCAGTACATGTGTTGTAGGTCTTTCCATCAGATGAGGCCGCCGTGCTTCTAGACTTTGGCCGGGATCGTACCGGATCGCAGTGTTATGCCGCTGGACAGATATGACTGTTTCCAGAAGTAGAGGCAACAAGTCAAGGCTTTTGTTCGTTTCCACCTGGAGAAGGCGCTCATTTGTGACGTCGGAGTGCGCAGATGTGCCGTTGTGGACGGTTCTTAAGTGCTCGGCTTAACGCTTCAGAATCATGATTTCTCCGGGAGAAATGTTTCGTTGGAGCTAAGCATCAGCACGTTTACTTCGACGGGGAATCGTAAGCCGCCTTGATTGAAGCAAAGAAATTCTTCATCTCATTGCGGTCAGTTGCGTCGGTTTTGCGATCCATCCAGTCATCCCGCATCTGCCGCGGTCGTTGCTGCACAAGGTGGCGGCATCTGATGAAGACTGCTTTGTGTGCGTTAATCGGGCGGTCGAGGTAGGCTTTGGGCATCCTTTTCTTTTCTGCGAGTAGGTTGTTGGTGTCTGCGTTGCTGCTGTCGAACCAATCCTAGTGTTGATGTTGTGCGCGTTCGAGGACGTTCGAGACAGTGATGTGGATAGCATTTCGTAAATGACACTACCGAGTCTTCATGGGGGCGTTTTCGTCTGGAACTTACATATCTTCCAGTAGCTGAATCAGGTGACTGCTGAAATCGAACGGGTGAGCGTTAAATTCGACAAAACAATATTTAACTTACTCAGTGATCGTTTACCTTGTTAGCTCCTGCAAGGTTGAAGTCGGAGCCCCATCTTGGAGATGACGAGACGGTGGGACGTCCAGTCATCGGCGTCGCAGATCGCCTTGGTCACCAGTGCGTCCTGTCAATCTCGCCTCTGGACGAGGACATAGTCGAGCAGCTGCCAGCGCCGGATCAGGGTTGTATCCAAATCGCCTTCTTCCGCTTCGGAGGGCAGAAAAAGGTGTTTGTCAGGAGGAGGCGGTATTCTGCTAAAGTCCGAAGAAGGAGACCGTTGTCATTGCAGCAGCCGATGCCATTAGGGACACAGCATTCCCTTTTGTTTATTTAGAACATCTTTTTTAGTCCCTTCTCACGCGAGGAGGTATGCATTGCAATCGCTAAACAGGGTTATTTAGAGATCCCAATCTGGGTCATGGTTTTGTTTTGTCGACAGCGATCCGTGTTAGCCTAGGTCACCTACGGGATTGTGTGTCCCCCCTCCCCTGTGGAGCTTTTTGAAGTGGAAAGGGGGAGGGAGGGTAGTGGGCGGAGGGAAGGGAGGAAGGGAGAGAGGCGAGGGTTGGGAATAGGAGTGGAATTTCCGGGTTTTGGAGGACAAAATATCGGAATTTTCCGTCTGCTTTAATCTCCCAGTCGAGGCGGTTGACGGGGTGTGGCCGCTAGGCTGTCTAACTTCAGGGGGCCACGGATGCGTTGGATGTCACGTAAAGGCCATGTAGAGCAGTCAGCATTTGCATGGTGCTAAGTACCACGCATGTCAGGGGGCTCCATAACTGGACACTACTATACCATACTGGGACAAATAACGACATGGACAGCAGCAACGTAAACCAGATGCCTAGGAGTTCATCCATGCTGAGAAAACTATCCCCGCTTGATTGCATTATGGGATCGAGTTCCGTTTTTTAATAATTCTATCTAGGGAGGCCTTAGTTCCTTAACTGGAATTAATACTATTTCTAGGACAGAACCTCTTCGCTATCTAAATATCCGCTTGGCTGCTATTGGGCAGATTCTGGACCTCCGACTATACAGCAGCACCGGTCAACAAAGCGTCCTTGTCAGCGTTCATTTAAGACCCCAAACTGGCCTTGTTTGACGTTTTCAGAGTCACATCGATGTCAACCCAACCCATCCACCCTACCCAAAACAAGGTGCTACCATCGCTGAATGGACATTTATAATTTTTAGGCAGAATGATAGTACCGACAAAGACAAGGGGTAATATCAACGGTAATATCATTCTGCCTATATATCATGCGCCGCTGTGCGGCTGCTGGTTGGGCTCGAGAGAGAGCCATTAAGACACCACGGAACGAGTGAGTTCCGTATGAACGATCGGTGAGCGCCCCCTACCATTTATAATTTTCTTTTATTCTAACAGCATTGTGAAGTCCCGGTTGGCCCTCGTTGTCACCATAGTACCGACCATCATAACAGGACACAGAGAACAACCGCCAGCAGTGCAGGCATGGGATCGACT